TAAGATTTGACATAGCATTGAACAAAAGATAGACAATGGTAACAAATTGTAACAAAGTGTATTGTTTGTTTATTTTATACGCAGAAAAAAACAGAATAGTTGCGCGGTGAGTGCCTTCTAAAAAAAACATGTATTCGTTAACGCGAACATCAACCTCGTACAGCAAGGACAACGTATACAACGTAAAGCATAATTAAGTGACGCGGATCGAAATCAGTTTGTATTCCGCTTCACTTCATAGCGTTGTTTACGGTAGTTGTCATGGCAACGAGGCGCCCAACACAAAATTGTAGAAATGTTTCCTATGTACGATCCAGTATGTATTTTATTGCAAACGTCATTTTCCAGATGGAAAATTGAGGAAAAAAGAATTTTTTAAATTGCGAGAGACATGTGCCTCCTCTAGATGTGGAAAAAAAGGGGAAGTATCTGTACCTATTACAAGACCACGAGCCGAACTAATATTTCTATTTTTTTTTTTAAATCTAAATGAAAATCCTTCTCGCGAATGTCAGTTTTTCGGTAATATTGCAAATGCAACTAAAAATTTCCAGATTCACTTAAAGCCATTTGACCTTGAAATTTTGAACAATTTTGCCTGCGGCGTTTTTTTTTTTTTTTCTTTTTAGTCAATCAATGAATATGCTTCACCTATCCTCAATGTCACGAGCCGCCACTGGTCAGGCTGGCTAGGCTGGATCCTCTTTTATGTATCTCACTGTATTTAAAAAGTGACATAACCGTTGCGTTATGGGTTATTATATACAGGGTTATTCACGCTACTGGTTCATTAAAAGTATACGAAGTTGTCATGATAGGATTTTTTGAAAATTTGAATACCCTGGTTACCGGTCATGAACTTTTCGATGAAAATATTTTAAAAAATGTTGCACTTCCGGTTATTTTTGTTATTTTAAATCGAACACACTGTATATTATTGCATTTTCGGATTCTACGTGAAATTTGAGGGACACTTTATTAAATATTCCCTATACCTATAAATTTTTAAAGAAAAAAATTGACATATGCAAGGGTCCACGGGGATGCTAATAACTCTTCAGAAGCGTGACATCAAGTGGATTTTTGGTACCTGTAAGGAGCATAGATAACTTAAATGGAAGATCCTGTATTTTTTTACTCTGTCGTATGCTGATTGAAATTTCCTTTCAAGCCATATAAGCATTGTTAAGGTTGCCGTTACTACTTTTAGAGATATTTCCAAAATTCTATTTTTTGGACAGTTTTTCTCGTATTAGACCTGTTGTCAAGTTGGCCCTGACCAGATACACTCCAAAACAATTAAAATAACTTGACATTTGTAAGTTGTCAAATTATTGCTATGTTTGTAATAGTTTTTGCTGAAAATTTAAATAAAAATACCTGAGGATCGCGTAAATTATACTAATGAGGATTAACTTCATTTCTTTGTTATTTATGAAAAAAAAAGCAGCAAACTCTCTACATGTTCTTGAAATTACTTTGTCACATTTTCCATAAAGCTGCATACCACAGAGTGAAAAAATACTGGGTGTTCCATTTAAGTTAACAAAGTTATAGCTATTAGGTTCCTACAAGTATTTCTTTCCCAAATAGAATTCATAGGCGCAGGCACCATTTCAGCTCAATAACGGCGGAATTTAAGTCTATCAATTCATAAAAAAACTGCTACGGATGCACCGAAGGAGTCTGTTTTTGATACGAAGACTATAAATTTATATTTTTGATTTGTTATTTTCAAATGTTTTAGTATTTTTCTTAAATTCCTAAAACCAAGTTTTTATCAAGAGCCACCNCGTGGATAACATCACACAAACTTTTCATTTTTCGGTAATGAAATAAATATTTTATTCGGAGTCGATCCTGAGGTACTTTTGCAGCCTGGAACTATACAATATTTGTACAATCCTCGGTTTCGACCCATTTAGACATAAAAACAATGATTAACGAAACTGCCAAGCGAACCACACACCGTATGAATACAGAATGGGATGAGAGCGAGCGCGAGCGCGAGCGGAGTGCTCTGCCAGTCGCTCATACGGGTATTATGACGTCAGCAATGGTTGCTCAACGTTTTTTCGCGCACTGTTTTCATTAATTTATTTCACACATTTCTCGTTGAAACAAAAAATTGATTTTTGTTATACTAACTAATTAAAGGGTAAACTTTTGGAATATGCAAAAAAAATCTACTGAATGAGCCTATTGTAGAAATGTTTTCTATGTATGATCCAGTATGTATTTTATTGGAAACGTCATTTTCCATATGGAAAATTGTGAAAAAAAATCAATAAGTCCGAACTAATATTTCTGTTTTTTATAAAATCTAAATGAAAATCTTTCTCGCGAACGTCAGTTTTTCGGTAATATTGCAAATGCAAAAATTTCCAGATTCATTTAAAGCCGTTTGACCTTGAAAAATTTTGCCTACGGCGCTTTTTTTTAGTCAATTAATGAATATGCTTCACCAATTCTCAATGTCACAAGCCGCCACTGGGCTGGCTGGCTAGGCCGGATCCTTTTTTATGCACCCCATTGTATTTAAAAAGTGACACAACCGTTGCGTTACCTTCTTATATTGTGAGACTACACTAATTATTGCTGGGAACGTTTTTTATGCGCATGCGTTGATATTCGCGGGAAATTTTAAATTCAATTTAAGTTTAAAATTTCAAAAAAGATGTTGACATGTTAGAAAAATTACTTTTATCTATATGATATAATTACATTTTGTCAAACACATAATAGAATGTTACTTGTGGTTAGCAAGTGAAATGATAAGTTTTTATATCTTATTTGTATGACATTAGTCTATAAAGTATAAATTTAGTATTATTTATGTTTCCCATTTGATAAAAGTTGAACTGTTGAATTGTTTAAATTCTTATGCAATTGTTCTGAAACGTTGCGATTAAATTTTAGGATAGTAAAGTAGTTTCAATTATACATAAAAGTGGTGGATTCATTTTTGTTTCATTTCAAAGTTACACAGCTTTGAAATTTTTGGAGTAAATAAACAGAATTAAATTCTTAGATTAAACAGAAACTAATTTTAGTCAGCCAAAAATGTTCAAACAGTGATATTTTTAAAATGCCCTCTAAATAAATGCCTAATACTAAATTATGGCATACCAATAAATTGAAACCTTTAATACTAGATGTTTCATTTTTGCTGATTCATTTTGATAACTTCAAAGAGTTATAACTTTGTCAACTTAAATAGAAGACCCTGTATTTTTTTACTCGTATGCAGACTGAAATTTCCTTTCAAACCATATAAGCATTGTTAGAGTTGCCGTTATTACTTTTAGAGATATTTCCAATTTTCTATTTTTTGGACAGTTTTTCTCGTATTTCTCCCTGTTGTCAAATTGGCCATAACCAGAAACACTCCAAATCAATTAAAATAACTTGACACTTGTTAGTTCTCAAATTATTGCTATGTTTGTAATAGTTGTTGCTGAAATTTTAAATAAAAACGCCTGGGGATCGTTTAAATTATACCAATGAGGATTATTTTAATTTCATTATTATTTATGAAAAAAAGCATCACATTCTCTACATGTTCTTGAAATTACTTTGTCACCTTTTCTATAAATCTGCAGTAAAAAAAATACAGGGTGTTCCATTTAAGTTAACAAAGTTATAGCTATTAGGTACCTACAAGTATTTTTTTCCCAAATAGAATTCATAGGCGCAGGCACCATAATTTCAGCTCAATAACGGCGGAATTTAAGTCTATCAATTCATAAAAAAACTGCTACGGATGCACCGAAGGAGTCTGTTTTTGATACGAAGACTATAAATTTATATTTTTGATTTGTTATTTTCAAATGTTTTAGTATTTTTCTTAAATTCCTAAAACCAAGTTTTTATCAAGAGCCACCAAACTATTTAAGATTAATATAAGATTTGTTTTTACTTCGCGTTTTAATAGACAGTAAATATCTACTTAGAGGAAAAATTCATAAAAACTCAAAGTTCGAATAGAACAATTACGTCGCAATCTATTTTTTTTTTCTTAGGAAATACAAACAAGGAATACTGAAACTATCTTCTCTTTCTGACGAAATTATCTTCTATTTAAATAAGAAAAAAATATTTCCTGCATAAAGATTTTCTCTATTGTTGAATTTGGAGCTAAAATAAAATATTTGATTAAATTAAAGAAAAAAAAAGTACGCCCAACGTGGGGCTCGAACCCACGACCCTGAGATTAAGAGTCTCATGCTCTACCGACTGAGCTAGCCGGGCATGTCTCTTGTGTTTCTAAAACCTGATTATCAACGGAATGTATTGTTTTTTTATTTAATTCTTATGCAATAGAATAATGTTTACGATACAGATTGCTTTATATCAATATAAATAACTAGTTTTATAACAAAGTACATCTTGTTTAGTTACCAAGAGAAAAAGTGGCGTTTCTAAGTAATAAATATTTTGAAATTTTCAGCTGAAAGTTTTGCTTCCTTAAAAAAAAACATTGAATTTTGATCTTGAAAGTATTTATCATATTTAGGTCTAATATTTTATGTACTCTAATATTCTCATTTTATACGAGGATTATTTTAATCACATTCGAGTTATGCGACATCTAGCTGTACGGTATATGTACCATGAATAGATTGATTCGAGAGACCATTACAGTCTTGACTAACTCCAATATCCAGTCTAAGCTATGTGTTACTAGATGGCGCGTAATACTTAATATTTTCATAAGCTTTCCTTAGGATCAGACAGCACAAAAAACTATTTAATTCATGGTTTATTTCGCTTTTCTTGAGACACTGAAGAATTGTCTAGTAAAATAATAATGTGTGAGTAATTTACTGCCTAAGATATCAAAGGAATTTGATTTGGCGTCATTCTGAAAACTCCTGCGACAAATTCACATAAAATGTTCATAATATTAAGGTATTCTCCTTTCTCGAAAGACAAATATTTGTATGATGTTTTATTTTTTATAGAGAAGACAAATTATTCCATTAATAAAACAACAAACGTAAAAATATTTTCTGTATTTATTCTATAACCCCTCAAATAGGTAACTACACAACTATTAATGACGGACAAAATTCATAAAGTAAAAAACAATTAATCTAATATGCGGTATGATGTGTCCAATAGGAAGTTTTCTTATTAGAAACAAATATTCAGAAAACTCCTGCAATATTTCTCCATCAAAATAAGAAAATCTCATATATTCTACGCTTCCTCAATACAACTGTCGCCCTCTTTACGTAAAAGGATAAACTACGTCGATAAAACAGAAACCTTTCTCTGTATCTATGTACAAAACGCATCCCTTCAGGGTACGCGTAATATTGATTATAACATCAATAATAATTCTTAATTACTACCCGTTCGGAGATATCTATCTGAGGATATTATTCTCTAAACTGTCCAGTTTCCTACGCAACAACAACTGTTCCTCCCTTATCAATTCCGCCAACAACCTCATGGCCTTGTCGATTTGCTTGAGGGTAGCTTTGCTGAAGGAGGCGCGAATGTAGTTACAAGCCTCTGTGGAATCGGCCATGAAAGCGTGGCCGGGTACGAAGGTGATGTTCTTCTTGGGTCCTCTAGTCATGAGCATCTCGTAGACGTCGGAGACGCCTCGTACCTTGATCCAAACGAACATGCCGCCTGAAGGGATGGCCCATTCGCAGAGCCCTTTAAGGTGTCTTTCCATGGAGGCAAGGGTGAAGTCGCAACGAGCTCTGTAGTACGCACGGACAGATTCAAACTGTGACAGAAGACCCTCGAAGCCCCATACTTGAAATACATTTTGCACCAAGACCTGCAAATAAAGATAGAATTTAAAGATAACGTGAGGAATAAATTATTTCAATAAACTTTCAAAAATAATTTATGAAATGAATAGCAGAATCTTATGTAAGATGATGGATAATTCAAAAGTGTAGTAAAATTTGGAACCAAGAAATTCCAAGGTAGTAGGTATAGGATATATTTATTATTTCAGTAAAATTTGAACAAAACAATGAATTTAAAAAATATTTGTAAAATAGAGACCATTGACGTTAGTTAAATTCGTGTCTTACATACAGGGTGTCCCGTTTAAAACTCCCCAGCTGGATATCTCGAAAACGGAAAAAGATAAATGATTTCTGAAAAATCCACTGTATAGTTTCAATAAATGGCTTTACTTGTGAGTACAAATCCCGTTCCTCTCAGTGCAGGTATAGATGTCGCTGCAATCCGAAAACATATTTTGTTGACAGCAGTTTTGAAAAGTGGCGCACATGAAAGATCTCTAAATTATAAGCAACTTTTGTGATATAAACAATTTTCGAAAAGCCACTAGTTTCCGAGATACTTGGATTTGAGGTAATTTTTTTTCCAGGAGGAAGATTTTTTAAAGTTAAGTTTTCAGGCATAACTACTGCAGATTTTCGTCGTATTAGATTGCTTTGAATAAAACAGTGATGAATTAATTTTATTTAACTAATAGATATCACAGGAAATTACTTCATTTAATCTTGTTTACGCAAATCATAGTCTTTTCGATCAAGATAAAGTAATATTTATTTAACAAAAACTGATGCAAAATTAACAAAAATTACAAATAAACGATACTAAATTAACATAATACACGAGTCACAATAAGTGTTCAAAATTGCCGCCATTCTCATGAATACATAATTCATATCTTTTTCTAAGTTCGGTATCAGTTGCCCGTAATAAAACATTTCGAGGAATAGATGCACAGCTCGCATAAATTTTATTGCACAAGTCAGCCAAGTCTTCAATTTCTGTTTGGTAAATTAGGTTCTTTAGGTAACCCCACAAGAAAAAATCGAGTGGGGTTAAATCAGGGGTGCGGGCAGGCCACCTTATTGGACCATTGGTGCCTATCCATCGCCCCTGAAAATATTCATGAAGAAAATTTTGCACCCTCCTTTCGTTATGAGCTGGTGCCCCGTCTTGTTGGAACCAGATATTTTGTCTCATAACTAAAGGAACTTCTTCCAAAAGAACATTTAGTTGGGTCTGAAGGAATTGTAAATAATTGCGACCGTTCAAATTTTCCTCATATAAATAGGGTCCAATTAATATGCCATTAATAATACCACACCATACATTTATAGAAAACGTGGTTTGGAAATGTCTGTCTTTGGTCCATCTAGGGTTACTGTCATGCCAGAAATGGCTATTATGTCTATTCAAAATGCCATTTTTTGTAAATCGACTCTCGTCAGTCCATATAATGTTATTTAAAAACTGGTCGTTTTCTTGAGCCTTTATTTCCATTTCTGCAATAAAATTTAGTCTTCGTAGCATATCACCAGGACGTAAATTATGTAAAAGATGCACTTTGTAAGGATGATACGTATTTCGCTTCAAGATATTATGGACCGATGTTCCGGAAATCCCCGTTTCTTGTTGTATAGCTCGCACCGAGGTATGTGGATTAGTTTCAACCTTACCTAATACCACGGCAGTGTTTCTATCATTTGTAACAGTGTTTCTACGATGCTTCTTTTTGTTAAAAGAACCACAATGAAGCAAATTCGTCGATAAAGACAAAAAGGTTTTATGATCGGGATGTCGACGGTTTGGGTAACGTACCTGATAAAGTCTTTCTGCTTCTCTGGAATTTCTACGGCATTCACCGAATATTAAAATTATGTCGAGCTTTTCTTCATTCGTGTACTGGACCATACTGAATAAATGTCAAATGTGTCAAAGTTGAAGGTGTAGACTTGTAGTTATGGTAACAGTAATATGCAACCAACTTTGACACTTCAAGAAATCAAAAGAAGGTTCAAGAAAACGACCAGTTTTTAAATAACATTATATGGGCCGATTATGGATATTATTTGTAATTTTTGTTAATTTTGCATCAGTTTGTGTTAAATAAATATTACTTCATCTTGATCGAAAAGACTATGATTTGCGTAAACAAGATTAAATGAAGTAATTTTCTGTGATATCTATTAGCTAAATAAAATTAATTCATCACTGTTTTATTCAAAGCAATCTAATACGACGAAAATTTGCAGTAGTTATGCCTGAAAACTTGACTTTAAAAAATCTTCCTCCTGGAAAAAAATTACCTCAAATCCAAGTATCTCGGAAACTAGTGGCTTTTCGAAAATAATTTATATCACAAAAGTTGCTTATAATTTAGAGACCTTTCATGTGCGCCTTTTTAAAACTGCTGTCAACAAAATATGTTTACGGATTGCAGCGACATCTATACCTGCACTGAGAGGAACGGGATTTGTACTCACAAGTAAAGCCATTTATTGAAACTATACAGAGGATTTTTCAGAAATCATTTATCTTTTTTCCGTTTTCGAGATATCCAGCTGGGGAATTTTAAACGGGACACCCTGTAGAATTCTTGAATATTAAAAACTGTACTACAATTCAGAATCAACAACAAAACAACAGAATAGAAATGCCAAGACAAGAACGAGGTTCAAAATTGGAATATCTACTAATAGAAATAAATGAAATAGACACCTAAGTTTGGATACCGATATTGAGAAAACGTAGGGGCAAAAAATTTTGAAATTTGGATCATATATAGCCTCACTATTACTCTATTGTGTGCTAAAGTTTCAGTTAGTTTCGTTATCCCATTTTTTAGTTATTAATGAAAATGTTGAAAAAATCACGTTTTTTTATTTTTAAGCAAATCATCTCCGTAAATGTTGCATTTAAAAAAAAAGAAAAGAACTGATATAGGTAGTAAATAACTGTAAACAACAATCTGAAAAAAATTGTTAAAATAATACAGTTATAAATATGATATTCTTAAAAAACGTATCGGAATGGTCAATTACGTTCACGGTCCGATGCAGTGTATACAGTATAGCCTTCATAACTATTATTTTAATAATTTTTTTCAGACTGTCAGTTTTTTTCTTTTTTTAGAAGAACGCAATATTTACGGACTTCTGTTTAGTTTAAAAATAACAAAAGAAGAGCTTTTGAGGCAAATGACCTTTACAGTACTAAAGACAATAGTTCGACTTATCGTTAGTAAATATTTGGAATTTTTTTGTGAATTAACAAAAAAATTACGACGAGTTAAATTGAGAGGTATCAATTTTGTTGGCAGAAAACCATGATTTTTTCAACATTTTCATTAATAACTAAAAAATGGGATAACGAAACTAACTGAAATTTTAGCACACAATAGAGTAATAATGGTCCAAATTTCAATTTTTTTGCCCCTACGTTTTCTTAATATCGGTCTCCAAACCCAGGGGTCTATTTCATTTATTTCGATAGTAGTGAATTAAGAACAGGCTAAAATTAAACTAATTCAAAATAAAATAAATTCCAAAAAATTGTATAAAAAACGTATTAATTATTTCAGTTAAATAAAAAAAAACTGTAACTTTAACAAAATTTAGAATTCTACTACAAAATATCTAAGAACATAAACTTTTTTATCTAAATAAAAATATTCGCTAAACGGAATCCAGAAGTTTCTATATCTCTAAGGAAACTGTACATTGTCATAGGTATTTTTTTCGTACTTATCAGGATATTTCTAAATGTTTTTTGCTTTTCATTATCGCCAAAAATTGGGTCATCCGTATCGTTATTGCCCGATAAAATGTAGCATAATAATATCTGACCATTGTACCATTTTGGCGATCTGTTACCTTGGACGTTTGAAAAATACATTTCTTGCCCATATCTAACTTGATACTGTTATCTCAGAATCCTAAAATTACATTCATCCTTAGCGTTATCTGAGCATAAGTCATTAACACAAGGCATTTATCAAAACATGTAACAAAAATCGTTAAAAAAATGTGCTCTGGATAAGCCGAGTCTATAAGGGTCACGCTCAAAACCAGATCGAGTCGGTTTCTACTGTTTATCGTACAACAAATACAGTAACAAATTGTTTTTGTTTTGATAACTGTATCGTTTTATTTGAATATTAATATAAATTTTATTAATGACAATCGCTTACTAATTGACGTCATTTGAAATTATTGTAATCTGGAACATGATTAAAAATGTGCAGATTTCCTAAATTATTATCTCAGATGACTATTTCGAAAACATTTGGAGAAAAATATGTGAAGAATCGTACATAATTTTTGACAAAGAAGATCAAAAAGAGGTCCCTGATTTGCTAAGAGATGAAGTACATGATTCTACTCAAAATTTCCTCTTGTATACTACCTACCTGTGAGAGAGTACTTGAATGTAGAAAAGAACTTTGTACGTGTAGTTCAATATTCTTTACAAGAGCGCTTGGTCCAGTTAACCATCCCACTCGTAGGCCAGAACTTAATACCTTTGACATCGAATCAAATCTAATCACTCTTCCTTCAGTGTCTAAAGACAAAAACGAAAGGGGTTGCTCTTCTAGAAAATGTACGAAGAAATAGGCATCGTCCTCGAGTATGATTATATTGTATTTGCAACATATTTGATAAACTTCTTTTCTTCGTTCCAGTGTCATAGTAGCGCCAGTCGGATTTGATCCTGTAAATGATCCCCAAAGTGTTAGTAAATGTTTTATTTGGGTTCAGTTAAAGAATGCATACCTGTTGGATTTAAATATAATACTTTAGGCATTCTTCTCTTCCCCCCACCTTCCTCGGTATATTTAGCCTTGCAGTTTTCGAGGGCTTCGACAAGCTTCTTAGGGATAATGCCATATTGATCTTGTTCAATGCCGATTACATTGACCTTAAACGGTTTCACCTAAAAGAAAGTATATCAATCAACGATCAAACCGTCTTGACTTTGTCTTTACTTACAATAATCTCCGTACCAGCGTACAGGGGATTTTGAATCAAAACGTCATCCCCTTCCTCGACTATCATTTCTAAGGACTTGCTGATACCATCCTGGGAGCCGTTGGTGACGATAACCTCGCGGTTTTCCCAATGGGGTGGTTGGTGCACCTGGTAGGTAAAATCTTTCAAGGTCTGCACAAGTGGTGGGTACCCTTGGGTAGGAATGTACTGGAGGGCAGAATGTAGTTCAGGACCTTGTAGAGTGAACTGGGACCCGTCCTTTAGCAACACGTTGATTTGCTCGAAGGGAAAGGTAACCTCGTTGGGCATGCCCTCTGCCAGGGAGATTGATTCTTTGGGGGCATTGTATTGTTGCTTTGCTGAAAAAAATGAGTTTGTAGGTGAAACATTACAAATTTATTCAAGTAATAAAAATTTGAAAATTCCTTCCTTTTTTGCAATGATAAAAGTGTTTGGATCTTTAATTGTATTTTTTTCTGTATCAGAAATACATAAAATCTTTCGCTTCACAGAAGCATATTAATAAAAAATGGATACATTTATCAGTCAACAAATTTTGCAATCTGTTTTTCCAAACTTAATAACGTCTATCTGAGAATGTCATAATAACCGATATTGCAAATAAGAATGAAACTATATTAATAACAATAAACAATATTTATTGTTATGGTAGCTTATGTACAAATGTTATCGGTTCGTGCAGCGTAAAAATCGGGCGATATGTGGATTTACGAAAAATGCAAAGCTCAATTTGAACGATACTATCATTCTGATAATGCAGTTAGTAACCAAAAGTAGCATAAACAACTTTTTTTTCTGTATAACATTGTAAGTCACTTTAATAAAGATAAGATATTTGAAAATTAATTTGGTAACCTCCTTCTACTTTCACTAATATTTTAATTATAAAAGTATCATTTTTATGCAATTTTTACTACTAGTAGATTTTGCAGTTTCACGTTTTTCATGTCTCATCTACAGACAAGGTTCCTAAATAACTTTTATTGTTTTTAAGTAGAAAGAAAATAGTAAATAAAAAAAATTGACTATCAATAAAAAGTATTTTATGATCACGCTGTTAAGGAACACCCTGTACAAAGATTAAATATTACCCAGAAATACTTTTAGTTGATAGCTACAACTTTCCTGATAAAAATTTTTCAACTTGAAAATAAGAAAGTTAAGAATCTATGACATTTACAACCAACCTTGGAAGAGCTGAAAAAGAATTTTTTATAATTGTTGTTAATTGTTTTTTTAACATGTATGTATAGCATCAAAGACTTAAGTGTATAACCCCATTTGGTGAGAACTATTTCTTTACTGTTAAAAGAGAAACAAGAAAAAACAGGATAATTGAATTAACTCCAAAATATACACAAATATGTTTTTCATTGAAATATGTGACAATAAGCAAAATGAATTTCAATTAAGATAAATAAAATTATAATAAAGACTTACTCAATTCTCTGGTTAAGGAAGGGCGTCTTCTTGAGGAATGAGCACTGATGAAGTAGCTATAATCAACCTTGAAAGCCATTGCTTCTTAAGAAAAAATATAATAAAAGAATGCAAGTAGCAAGTAATCACTGAGAACTATCGGTAGCGGTACGCTGCAGAATCCTTCAACAACCGGTGAAGAATGATTTCTCCATGCTGGAGTATTAGATTTTATACGAAAAGCTCGCGCCAAAAGATGATGTAACACTATTTAAAAAATACGCGGCTCGCTGACGAAATAGTTTACATCCCAAAACAATTTCTCCGGTGATATTGTTTGGAGAACCGCACATTTTTAATTTTTCTTTGATAACTACCTTCAGTTTGTGATCGGGCTTTGAGATTTTATACCTTAGTTCGTATTTAGTCAGTTGTTACTTTTAAAAAATAGTACCTAACTTTCGAGTTTCCTGATTTTTGACCTTACTGGTAAATCCAAATTGTTTTGATTGATGCAACTCTTGTGAGTTATGAAATTTGTTGATAAATATTGGTATTATCGGCTACTGCATTGTGTACATTATTTTATGTAAGTATTCACCTTCCCATTTTTTTAAATCATGTAGGAAAATATAACAACACTTTTAAATTTCTACAAGATATGATTTACTTTTTTATGAAGCTCGATTCACAGGTATTAACATTTTATAAACTAGGTGTAAAACTTTCTACCTTAGACAAATTGTTTTATTTTTTTAATTTTACGTATATATACATATATGTATATTACTACTACGCTGACGTAATTATTAGAGACTATTTTTTAATGTTCTGAATTAAATTTCTTTATATACGCATTTTTTTTTAAATTTAAATGCATTATGAAGGTTTACTTTTCCTTTGAAATTACGTATTAAAATTTTCCAATACGAAATTGAACAAATAACTATTGAATCAGCCAGTTTTTTAATTATAACCCTTTATTGAATAATAATGAGCTACCTAATTTGCAAATAACATTATGGATATGGTAAATAACTGGTTTTAATATTGAATGAGCTTCTAACAGCGAATGGCACTTTCTCAATGTCACCGAGCTGCAAAATTTAAGGTATTTGGTTCACAAAACTGTTTTTTATCTGTATTTGTGTTAATGTTAGTAATATAATGATCAAAGGTAACCTATTTTAAGGTACTGGTGACCAAAAAACAAACCGTATTTCTCTTTCTTAGATCAAAGGATCCGCATTTTTTTCTGGTCTTCTATTTTCTAAACTTCGACCTTAGATTAGGTATTTGTCAAGTTTTGCCACGCTTCTGCCTCCTGCCAGACTGGTGTTTGGCGTAAAAACACTGTCAAATTTTATCAAGTAATTTATTTTTAATTTATATGTATATGTCTTATTATTTTGCAATTCAGTATCCATTTATTTTAGTTGTTATAACTTAGTTATTATTTTTTACACATTTATTCAGAGAAATTTTCCCGTCTTATATTAAAAGTACACCCTGTATATTAATGTAGAATGTAGAAATAATAGTAACAGTAACCGGTTATAAAATTTTAGGAGAAATAACTATAGAACAGTATGTTTTCTGGAAAATGGTTTTCTACAGCACAATTGCGCGAAATATGAACGCTGAAACCCTGATGCTGAATCGGTGACATATAGCTTAAGGCTTGCATCATCTTTGCCGGCGTAAGATAGTCGTACTCTCGTATCTATAAAATCGTCGTACTTTCTTTTGGCCACTTTGGTTTACTTCACTAATAAATAAGTTAAAATGATATATGCATGTATCAATAGGAATTAGAAATTGCCATATCTGGCTATGTCAAATTTAAATTATTACTACCTCCCGTATTTTGAAATTAGCGATTTTTTATGTAAATTATTGCCTTGCAAATTATTAAGATTTACTTTGAAGATTGGCTATTGACCAAAGTGGGATTAATTCAAGAGCGATTTTCTCAGAAATCGTTAAAGATAACGATTTGAAACAAGAGTACCTTTTTAACGTAAAACAGTTCGGGAAAACGGAAATTGCTGTCCAATTTGTTAAAAAGTCAAAGATGAAATAGTTACACACTCAAAGTACCAAGTGCCCCCCGTACCTACCCCATTGGACCTTGTGGAAATAAATGGATTAGTCCATCAAATTGCTCATCAAAATTTAGCTGTGTATACCAAATTTCATTCATTTATCACAACGCGATTGAGAGATATTGCAAAAAAATTATTTCCATTCCTCCCTCTTCAATGGGTCCCTGTGCCCTTAGGAAGCATTTCCGGACCCATGTTCATATGAACTTTTTCACTTAGTTTTGATCATAGAATCGGCCTGTTCAGGGTTGGCAGCTAATTACGGGACACCCTGTATAAGGAAGACATATCAATAAATTGTCGCTTTTTTATTTACATTTACAAAATCATGATTAGTTTTTTATTTTGTCAATATAATCGTCCAATGTAAAATGACACTACCCGTAGTCTTTCATCATTTAATATTTAACGGCTAAAGAGGTAGTAGAAGTAAATTTCATCTCTTTTACTGCACGAAAAGAACCAATACAGCATACCTAAATTACAATTTTTAAAACTTTTCTTATATTTTTTTAAGCTGCTGAAACCAATAAAATTGTAATATTAACTCAAACGTAAATTCAGATTTTTTATGGATACAATGCTAGTAGGTATGTTTGTCAATTTTATATTAAATGTATTACACGAATAGAAATTGCTAAAAAATACATTATCGCGGTTCTTAATTTCGCGCAAAAGAAATTGTCTCGTTTGTGTTCATGTATAAAGATTATTTTTTATAATTCCACAAAAAAACTACTACTTTGATTACAACAAAAATTAATATTAGGTACCCTAAGTTGGATTTGCTTAAAAAATTTAAAGTTATAGGATAGGATCTTTAAATATTTTATTTTTTAGCATTTGCTAGCTTCAGAACTGTTGATATGTGTGTATACAGGGTGTGGCGATTAAATGTGAAATATACCTGTAACTTCTTTATTTTTTGGCTGATTTCAATTTTTTCTTATAGAAAGTAGGGTAAAAAACGCTATCTAACTGTGATACTGCTGTTTTTAATGGAAAAGAAAAAAAAATAACGGAACACCCTATATATTAGTGCATAGGTACTTAACTTCGCCAAATTTTTCTCTTTTCAAAAATATATAATATGTTACTGTTTGATTCAGGACTTTTCGACATATTTCAGTTTAAACCTATTTTTGAAAAAACAGGAGGGAAAATGTCTGACGGATCGCAGTGGCTATGGACGAGGCACGGGGAACAAACAAATGAGTTTGACAGAAGTTATCACCATTAATTTATTTCCTATAACAAACTATTTTAACAAAGAAATGATGTTTAGACGGTTCAAATGTGTGGATAAAAGTCCGATTATAAGGTGACTGTGGATAAAAGTATTTTAAAATTTTGAACAAAAACTACAATAAATTAAAATTTTTAGTAGATTGTTTATGTCTTATTTTCTCTAGTCAACAATTCTGCAATTTTTTATTAATTAATTTAATTCTTTCCGATATTAAATTTGATTATATATACGCTGTTTTATTTCTCTTTTCTCTTCTATTTCATGAACTTTCACATTTGCAAGTAATTAAAAAAATTACCCACTATCTAATTTCTCGAAAAATATATTCCTTAATCAAAATTTTATTTTATATACATCAGGGAATAAAATTCATATCTTTTGAATGAGTTAATTTTTTTAAAACGCCGAATCACGTTAACTGATTTTGATTTTTTCCCATCTTTCGGTTATATAATAATTTATTTTTCTTCAACCCCCTAACCCCCAGATACCCCCACTTTTTTTTCAAATGGAAACATAAGGCATGAGGGGGCTACTTTTTTCGGATGAAGCTACGTTTTATTTAAATGGAGTGGTTAACAGGCACAACTATCGCTTTTGGTCCCAGAAAAATCCACACTGGACATGCGAATCGCATAAGCAGCATCCACAAAAAGTTAATGTATGGGAAGGTATCATCAACAACAGAATATTGGGCCCATTTTTTTTTTTTTAATCTTACTGCCGCACGCTACCTGGATTTCCCAACATTTGACCTGATACCTGCTCTAGCTGTGATTTTCCCTCATAAAATTGATCCAGATATACCGAATGAAAGAATTTGGTTCCAACAAGATGGCGCTCCCCCACATTTTGGTATTGATGTTCGAAGATACTTAGATGAAATGTTTCCAAATCGCTGGATTGGTAGACGGGGTACAGTTGAATGGCCGCCAAGATCCCCCGACTTAACACCCCTGGATTATTTTCTTTGGGGATATTTGAAAGAAAGAGTCTACCAG